TGAGGCAGAGCCTTCGTTTTGCTCTCACATCTACCAACAGATGCTTGGACAGAAGTTTAAAAATTATCAGCTCTCTCTTGCTTGCCAGCCCTTGGCATGGAATGTTCTTTCCCAAACAATTTCCTTTCCCTGGTGGTTGCCTGCTGTGCCCCAGAGGTGTGAGCTGCCTGCGGGGCTTTGCCTGGGAGAAACACACACTTGTGCAGAGTGGAACCTAAAAATCTCTGGATGCACATTTACAGCAGGATCAGAGTGGAATTCCTAATTTCTGTAGCATTTAAATGAGCTGGTATGTGATACATGTGACTGTCTTTAAAAAAAGATTTATTTCCAGCTGATGTCAAGCCCATTAATTCTTACTTTGTTCTAGTGTCTCTTGTAATTCGTTGTTGCTTTTGCCTGGTGCTGTTCCCTGGGAAGTGTGGCAGGGTTGTCGAGCAAGGTCCACGTGACTTCAGAAAGCTCTGAGGATGTTCAAGAAAAAAAGCAACAACTTCAGATGAAATTAAATCCCTTGTGGCTCAGGTGTATTTGAAAGCCTCGTGCTGGGATGCTGCTGTTGGAGGACACGCTCCTCTGGCTTTTTAAACTGTTTTGTTTTAAAAGTTTGCTTGGACCCTCTGTCCTTACTGGGGCTTCCAGAGCTGCATTGCAGTGGTGAATGTTAGTCCTGTTGGTGTAGAGACTCCTTAACTGCTGTAACTGGTCACTCACTCATGCCCTGTTTTCAAGGCTTTTCAGTTAAGGAAGATGCCCATCCTTGGCATGTGGCTTCTGCTCCTGCAGCTTGTGCAGGAGAGTTGTCCAGGCTCGGTGTCACCTCTGCACACGGGAGCATTCGCAGGGACTCCTGCAGTGTGACTGCAGCCTCAGCAGGTTGACTTACACCTGCTTCCAACACCTGCCAGGGCACAGGTGCCTCCAGAGGTTCCCTGGGCTCTGGGGCTGGTCACCTGCTGCAGAACCAGAGGAACCCACGAGCCTCAGCCCTGCTGCCCTGCCCAGGTCCCATCAAGGACAGCCAGGCGTGCACAGCACACCACTATCACATCCTCAGGAGTCCATGGGATCGAGCACTGACTGACTGGAAAAACAGGTGTGAAATTTCCACACATAGCAACGCACAGTGACGTTCACGTGTGGATAGATGAAGGACTTATGGGAAGGGTGTAACATCAGGAGCACATGAGTGTACAATTAAACCGGAGGGAGACAAGGAAACACACAATGAAGAGACCCAAGTGGTGCAATTCCTGGGAAAATTGTACATTGTGCCCCTAAAGTTGAGACCAACACTGTGAGAGTGATGTAACCTGAGATGGGAATCCGGAGTATTTCAGCCCTGTCAGGTGAAGTTATAACTGTGTTGGCTTCAGCCCAGCTACTTTGTAGACCAATACGCTGGAAAAGATCAAACCACGAATCCAGTCCCTGCAGGGACCTGTGGTTTAGACATTGAGCAGACCCTCATCCATAGGCATGGATGAGTTTATCCAGTTTGAGATTGACAGTTACATACTTTATTATTTTGAGCTAGAGAACTGCAAGTCAGTGAAGGGAGACTGCGACCTTCCTGGTGTCCCTGATGGAACTGGGGCAATTGAAGTGACACTTGCTTAGTCCCAAACAGGCAGTTTAACCACAGCATAGTTCTTCCTCTTAGAGTCAGGCAGTTATTTTGCCCTAAATAAATATGGATTTGGTGCTGCCAACTGCTCGATATTCTTGTACAGTGAATTCTTGTGGGTGCTTCCAAGGAGAGCGTATAAATGTCTGAAAAGACCTAGTAGCAAACAGGAATTACCATAAATAAATTATAAACCATGAAAAAAGACATGATGAGTCATATCTGTGTATTTGGATGCTGAAAGCACCTGTGTAATCATCTTGGCTGAGCTCTTACCACTGCCCCATTGTTCTCCATCTCCATGAGATGCAGCTTGAGAGGGAGGGCTCCAGGGCTTCTGGTCTTCATTGCTGGAAAATCAAAGACACACCAATCTGGGTCTTGTCAGCTGCTCCCTTCCACTTACATGTGTCTATGTTTGGGTTAGGAACAATTTCTGGAGGAATTCACCTGGACTTGCCCTAAAGGCATGTGTTACTTTAAGTATGAGCTTGAGCTTACTTGGGCAGGGTCCCTGATGCCAAACTGAAGGGAAATTTGGTGGTCAAACTCCCCTGTAAATGTCTGGATTTATGCTGAAGTTGTGAACTGGCAAATTTCCCGGTCTGAGCAGGCGATACCTGTCTTTCTGCTGTGGAGAAACTCTGTGTAGTTTTAATTTTTGGTGTCATTTGCTGTCCCTCAGTGTTTTGGCTTTACTGCTTTCTGCCTCTCCACTGGGAACGTTTCTTTGCTTTATCATTTTGTATCCCTCCATTGCTATCAGATTCCCATTATTGCCCAGCGCTTCCCTCATTTCCCATGGTCTGAGGGAGCTGCAGTCTCACGGTGTGGTGGGTGCAGGGTGAGATGTTTCCCTGATGGGGAGAGGGGCACATGGTTCAGGAGCAGGGCTTGTCAGCTGGAGCTGGGAATTAAAGCTCTCTCCTGCACAAAAGCTCCCTCTTTTGAAGAGCTTTGCATTGGATGTAACTTTTAATTTGTTTTTGAAAGCCAAGCAGGCTTTGGAAACTCTCCCTGACACTATCTGAACAAGGATATTGCTAGACTTTTTATACAAAAGACACTTTAATTAAACTCCCATCATGAAAACAATTAGACCAAATTTGCAGTGCTTAACTAGTCAATAATTTAGTAGTTGGAGCTCATTAATAGACTTCTCCCTGTGCCTGTGTTGTAACGATGCTGCACTGCCAGCTGCCTGCCATGGAGATCAGTCTGGGCTCGATATCTTCTGTCCCCTGCAATGGTGACATCGGTGTAAACTAGGTAAATAAGTAAACCCCAGGTGGGTGCAGGGGTGGGTGTTTAGTGCTGCCATCCCTCCTGGATCGGGGGAGCTGCTCACGTTCTGCAGCCCCTTGAACTCCACGTGTTTGTGTTCTCACCCAATGGCACCGACAGGGATAATCTGTGGCTCTTTGGGTGTCCCTCGTGGGGAGGGTCCTGCTGGACCTTTGGTGGTGCTGGCCCTGGGAGGGGGTGTTACAGACCCCCCCGTTCCGCTGATGTTCCTCTGCCTCCTTAGGCTGCCTTTGGGGTTGTCATACAAAGAATGTGAAGGGAAAATGTGAATCCCCTACTTGGGGATCAAATGCCAACTTTCTAATGTAGAGTTTGCTCAAAGTTTACTAAGTAGACAGAAAAAGGAAAGGGTGTTCTGCTCTGTTCCTGTTTCTTAGGACAGAGTTCACACAGACAGGCAGGATATCAGTTATGGAGCAGGTTTGCTCAGCTTGTGTGTTGAAAGCTCTTGCTCAATCATTTTTGAAAGAAGGTGTGAGAGGAAAGTAAGTAATTTACTGCTTGAATTTCATTCCTGAATTAGATTCTATTTTTTTTCAAATCATCGGATCATTTGGGCTCAAAATTAAATTGATGATTTTAAGTCCTTGTTCTTTACATCTTTTAATTGGTGAAAAAAATGTTTGACCTTTTCTTTTGTCTACAGAGAATAAGCAGAACAGAAATGGATTTACTTTTATTATGGTAATCGTTTTATTTCAAATACATTTTAGAACAGGGCATGTGTGACTGTATCAGTTTCTGTAATTCATTCTCATTCCTGATTTCCCCCAGGCACTGAGGCAAGTCTTCTTCCTAATGCTTCGTTGTACCAGCTAATACTGTAATAACAATTTGTGCTTCTGTAGCACCTTTACACTGAAATAGTCAAAAGTAGGCCCCAGGAATTTATATCATGTCACGCATCTTTCTCCAGTAACATTAGATGGTTTTTGCAGCTGGATGTATTTACAGGAACCCCAGTCAATCCCCCTCCAGCAGTTCTGGCACTTCAGTAGTTCTGTCTCAGTGAGAATTATGAACAAGGATAAAAGCTCTCCAGCAGAGCATCCCGAGGGAGACAGTGTTCCAAGGCCTTTCATTTCGGGGAGTCATGTCATGTTGACAAACCAGGTCTAACAGCCACACCTCCTGGGGTGCTCACTGGGAAACGGGGTTCTGTGGATATCTTTTGTTCTCTGAAAGTTTGTGCCTTGAAGAGATTTGGGGGTTCAGGTTGTGCTATGTGGACTGTTTAAGATTTACACCTGCTGAAAAAGAAGCAAGGAGAAGGAAGGAATATTTAATTAAACCTTTTTTAAAGAGAAGCTAAGAGGGGCCTTTTGTCCCTTTTGTTTTTCTTTTCCTTCCCCTTGCAGTTTGTCTCTTGTTTTGGATGAATGAAAGCATCTGTATGTACCTGAAAACATGGGGTGTTCATGGCTGAGCTCATGAATCTTACGTACTGTGAGACTTTGATGAACTGATATTTACCATGATTTATCATTTTTTAGTTATCTAAGGGAGAAATTTCATTTTCAGATGAACTGAGATGTCCACATTTTATATCATGCCTTAGGCAACTCTTTAACTATTCATGGGGATCAAGTGGTTAATTCTGTTGAAGTTTGGTTCGGTTTTTAGGTGGCCGTAGCAGCGTCCTGTCTGTTCTCCCACTGGCGTGGGTGGGTGTAGGATCCTGCATCCCGGCAGCTCCCGCAGTCCCTGCGGATACTCCGCTGCACTGGTGTGGAACCCAACCCCCCCAACCTCTCCTTGTTGATTTTGCAGCTGATGTTGGAATCTGTGCCCTGAGCTGCAGATGGAAGTGTGTTTCAAACAGCACAGCCAGTTATTCATTTGCTTGTTCCTTGTAGCCACGAGATCTTTGTGTTGTGGCTTTAAAAGAAAAAAAGGAGCAGCAGCAGCAGCTGTGCTGGTGTGAGCAGCAACCAGGAGCGGCGACACGCGTCGAGCCGGCGGATAAAACACAACGGTGGATAAAACAGACCAGCTCAGGGGGCCTCTACAGGGCTGCAGAAATCCCTCAGCAATTTTGGCTATGTCTGCAGATCTGTAAGAGAGGAAAATACAAGCACACCAGGTCTGGTATAACTGTGCAGCCTCTTGCCTCCACAGCATCCATCTCCCTCGGGCAGCAGATGGATCTGGGCATTCCATTCCTCCCATGCTGTTCCACAGGGATTCTTCCCTGGCTCAGCTGTGGTTTTGAGGCGCATTTTGCCAAAAGGTAATCAATGGCAGTACAGTGATAATATTTAAAGCTTTAAAATATACATTGCATGAATGACAACGATTGATAAATGTTCCCCAGGCTTCCGTTTGCTCCTCATCTCCCACCCCCTGACCTGCCACCTTCCTGCTGGCCTGACCAACAGGCACTGCTTACTTGCACCTGCTGTACTGGTTGGAATATGTGACAGTGCTGCTTGCAGAGACAAACCCTGATTCCTGCTTTATCTACTTGATGCTGACAGCACTGCATTTCTCCATCCGTCTGTTTGGAGAGCTTGGAAGAGATAAGGGAGTCAGGGATCAATGGGAGGCAGCAGTGTGAGGGGCCAGGAAATAGAGTAGGGGATCAGCTGCATGACGAGCAGGAGAAAATACTGTATGAATATTAAATGTTGTGAGTGGCTACGATAAAGCTCATGTATTCACAGAGTGCAGATTAGATATCTTCGCTTTATAGAAAGAGAGGGAAAAGTTATGTTTGATAAAACTCTTTAGGGACACCAAAGGAACTGATTTTTTTAATCATTATTTTTGAAACTGATATATAAGCCTTTTCTGTGGGTAGGGTGGGGTTTTTTAAATGCCTAACAGAATGGCAGTGCCATTTTATGACTCATCATATTTGTCACATTTCGCTTATTTTATTCCAACTCTGAACAAAAATATGTGAGAGAAAGTTCTGCTTCTTTGCTTTTGTTTGTAGAAGTCATGGTGCATTTGAGTGGAAAGTACAGCATTTATGATTTTTTTTATTACCTGTTCAGAAAAGGTATTAATGAATGAGCAGATATGCCAGTAAATCCCAGCTACCAGCACAGCCCAGTCTGGACCTACTGGTGAGAGCCAAGCTTCCTTCTGAGAGGGAAAAGGAGGTGCTGGGGTCTGCAGGTAAAGTTTGGGTGAAGTTTCCAGCCCAGGAGGGGAAGTGGTGACCCTGAAAGTCAGCGCTGTGTGGGGGAGGTTTTAAAACTCGATTAAAAAATGGCTGAATTAGCTTGTATGTGCCCAAGTAATGAGCCCTCTGGCAGTGGAGCAGGACAGTGACAAGTCATGAGGGCAGTTATGAGCCGAGGTAGGGCCACACAATAAAGAAGCGTTTTGTAGGAAGAAACTTTTGGTATGTTGATTGATAATTTATCCCTTCCCTCTTTAAGTGCTGCAACATTTCTGCCACTTTCACTTTGTTTTCTTTTTAGGTTCCTTTTGCTTGACTTCAATACAAGAGGAGGTGGCAACTGACAGCAGGATGTGGTGTTTGTTAAACACTGAGCTCAAATAACAAATATTGGACTCAGCAGTGTTTTGTCGTGGTTACAAGAAGAAGGAAAGGTATTGGGTGCTCTTTTCAGAGACAGCATAAAGGACTCTGCTGGCCTGATGAACGTGGCCCTGCTGTTGTGCTGGATGTGGTGATGAGGGTGCACTGTGCATGCATTGCCCTCATTGTGGTCACACAGGCTGTGGGTGCTTATCGTGTGCAGCCCTTAACCCCTTATTGAAAACCCACGGGGTGTGGGAAGGATGTGGGGTGTGTTACAGATGTGATATGTGCTCTCTGTCCCTGTCACCTGGTCTGGCTCCTGCAGATATTCCAGGTACAAACGTAGGCTGCCCAGCCAAGCCCGTGGTGCTGGAAGTTCCTGAGGCTGCCATTTCATGTTTTCCTCATGATCCTGCCACCCTGCTTCTGGGACAGTGTGTCCTTGGGGGCTTCAGTGACAAGGTGGCCTTCACTGGAGGGGTCCCCCAGAGCCATTTCTGCACTGGGGACCTGCTGGGCTCTGTTGCTGTGGGGTGCCACAGTAGTGAGGGCCTTGTGTGGACATGGATGGCAGGATGTCTCTCACAGGAGCTGAGTGCCTCCACCATAAAACCTCTCCATGGATTGTCCACCAGGGAAGCTTTTAGCTGCAGCTGTGGAGGTGCAGAGTTTAATGGGCAGGTGATGTTTGTTCTGCATTGCATGTGCATCATTGCCCTCTGAGCAGTGTAAATTTAGCTCCTTTAAGCCTGATCTCCTGGGGCTGAGATTTAAGTGTTTGAACTTTAGTTGAAAGGAATATATTGATTAGGCTTTGATTTAGTTGTTCCTTGCTGAAAAGATACCGGGTAATGACTTTACCTGCCCTTTCCTATTTTATTCATTTAATGGAGTCCTCTTGTTCCCCTTTTCCTCCTCAGCATCATTTTGCCTGAAAGTCTGCAGTGGTACGAGGAGAAATACAGGAGAAAGCTGTTGTCACACTGTGAACATGATTGATTCCATAAGTAACTCCCTTGGCAAACCTCTGAGGCTTCACTGATGTCAGTTAGTGCTTCCTCCTGTACACGAGGGCATGTCCAGTTTAGACTGATGGACTGAGGTACTGCTTCTTGCCTTCGACAGAGAACAGGCATGGAGGAGGAACTGGTTTTCATAGATATAAAATATCTTGTCCATTTCTTTTTACAGATGTGAAAAGAAGTTCTCTTGACCTATTTGGTAAATTGTCCTTTTTTTAACCTCCTTTCACGGTGAGTCAAACTGAGAAATCCCTTTTCTTTTATCTTGACAAACAGAGCACATGAGGGTCAGCCTTGACCCCACATGGGTTTCAGCTGAGCTCCAACTTTGCACCAGCTCACAAGATCCAACCAAACATTAGAAGTAGGGTTGGCAAATCACAGTTTCAGTGCACAGACAGAGCCAAAAGGGGAGGGGGAGGGATGGTATGGATTTTCTTATCTAAAGTGAGTAGTTTTTGCTTTTCACCAAATAGGGAGCTGCTTCTCTCTTGCTTTGTGCTGAACCTCGAATTCAAATGGCTTTCAGCACAGAGAAGTGTCTGGCTGTGGGGGGCCTCTGCAGCCTGGTGTGGGCAGAATGCAGGACGAAGACTGAGCTCTGCAACCCCCCTCCAGGCAAACAAATCCCTCGGATTCAACCTACTTTTTTCTGTATTTAATAGTTCATTGGTTTGTAGTTCCTCCTTACTCCATGGATCAGTTCTGGAGAGGAAGAATTCCCCCTCATGGTCCCCTGATGGCATTTTCACTTCATTTCAATATTCCTTTCCCTCATTACAGCAGAAATCCCAGGGGTGTTCCTGGGAGTGTTGATCCTCGCACACCTGATGCCTTCTGAGGAACACACATGAGGCTAAAATAAGATATTAGTTCTGTCTAAGGACTTTTACTGAAAAGAAGTATCTTCGGGGGTTATCTGTGGAGGGAAGATTTGGTCAGCTCCTAAATTAGCTTCAGAACAAGAGTAAATGGCTATTGATTACCTTCTAATAAACCTCTAAAACCTATTTTCTCTGTTTTTGCAGGAGAAAATGTGTTTGCCTTGAGTTTCCTTGCTTCTGCATGTCTTCATTGCCTTCGGAATTCCATGGCTGAACTATACTGGTATCCTTTTTTTGAGGAAAGAGAGTTTAATATGCCCAGCTGGAAGAAGAGAAGACCTCAGACTGCAAATTTTTTACAAGAGATGAAGGAATCATCCTGATTAAGGAAATGTTGATGGTGAAAATCACAGAGGAATAAGGGTAGGCTGGGGAACAGCACCTTCCTGTGCATCGGTGCTGTAATCCCTAGAGACTGAGAACTGGGTAAGGGAGTGCAGAGCAGCAGAACCAAAATAGCCCTGGTTGCCATGAGGACACAAGTCCTTGCCAAGTCACCGGGTTGCTTTGTATCTCATCGAGGGAGGTGTAAGCACACCCCATGTGCTGTTTAATTCCATGGGGAGAGGTTTCCTTCCCCAGAGCTGCCGCAGCCAAGGAGTGTTACTGCTCCAGTCCCTCACTGCTGCAGTTCTGGTCACTGTGTTGGGAATATTTGGTTATTGCACCCTGCCAACATGATTATTTTCAGCTGTAAATACTTGCCTCAGTAGAGGTTTTCCATATATTTGAATTCTTTCTGAAGGTATTTCTCTCCCATTGCTGCTGCATAGAAGAAACCTGGAAGGGAAGGGATCAGGTGTAAGTAAAGCTCCTGACAAGGAGTGTCTTGCAGGCTTCTGCTCCTTCAGTTCCTCACACAGCATTGGGATAGTTTTATTTTACACTTTCCATTTAACCTTCAGATCATCAAAACCCATCTTTGCCACCTGCACTGAGTGGGGATAATTCCACACTGTACAAACAGCCCCACTGATGTTTGTGTTTGCTTGCTGGGGGGGATTTGAACCCATTACTTTAAAGCACAGTGATGGGATTTGTGCTTTTCGGTTTTATTTTATTTTCCCAGATGTGATGTAAACTCTCTGTGGACTCTTCCTTGTGCTTTGCCCAAGTGCTGTGGTCCTGCTTATTTCAGTGTTCAGTGATCTCAGCTCTCCTGTTCTGAAGGCAAATGGACATGGTGCTGTACAGGTGTGTGTGGTGCTGTACAGGTGTGTGTGGTGCTGCACAGCCCAGCCATGGGCCGTGGCCAGGTACCAGTCCCCTGGGGCTGTGCTTCCCTGGCTGTGCTTGGAGCCCAACAGGGTCCGTAGGAAACGGGTCTATTTTGTGTTAGCACAGCAGAACAAAACACTTTCCTTCATCTTTCTTGTTTTGATTGGTAACTGATTCTTGTGAATTTGGACTCTGAATACTGAGCAGTAAATATTTATGAAATGTAATGGCCAAGACTAAATACAGTCATTAGCATATTTATTTTTATTGAGTTGTTGCTTTGTGTGCCTGAGGAAATTATCAAATTGCTTCTATTTGAACTGCTATGTACAATTTTAGGACTGTCATTTTTAGTCTCGCATCACTCTGGATTTTGGAATTAGAGTAGGGAGCATTTGTGTCCTCCCCCAGCCCCAAAATAGAAGTTTATGAATAATGAAAGTTCAGTAAAATCCAGTCCAGGTTGCCCATTTGCATCCTGCTCGGTGCCAGGAACAAGAGGTGAAGGTTTCTTCTGGGACTGTGGTGCTCTGTGTGAGGCCCTGAAGAGTGGGCAGGGTGGTGGAACCACCTCAGCTCATCTCCCAGGGCTTTGGGGGCCCTGGGCTGCAGGGGAGCAGCTCCAACCTGCTCCAGGTACTGCTCTGGGGTGTGTCCTGTGCTGGAGCCGAAGCCATCCCAGTGCTTCAGGTTATCCCTGTGTTTCCTCTGGGAGCAGTCCATGACTCGGAGGGCTAAGGAGCTCCTGTTCGGTGGGCAGGAGTGATGAGGACACAGGGGTGTGATGGATTTGTTCCCTGGGGAGTGTGTGTGGTGTCACCATATCCAACATTCCAGTGATCCCGGTGAGTGGTTGACTTCGCCCATCTCTAACTTCTTTCAGGAATAACTTGCCTTTGTTTTTTTCTCTGTAGGTCTTTTCGTTCCTTCTTGCTGCACACTGGCATACCAAGGTAAACATTTTCAGATACAGAAAATAAATGGACCAGAACTTATATCCCCTCTCTGGATCCTGTGCTGCCTTTCCCCTAAACTCTCCCTTTTCCAGCACCCGATGGTCATCCTCGCTCCCCTATTTACTGTGAATCCACATGGGTGTGTTAAACATTCCACCTGGGCTGGAGGAATCAGCACAAAAGCTGGGAAAGGCCTCCTTGCTGTGACATGTGCAGCTCTGGTTGCCCAGAACTGTGGCACATGGGACATGTGTTACTGGAGCAGGAGAGGGAACAGTTGGCTTCAAGGAAAATAGTTTCCCCAGGAACAGGTTTCTGCTGTAGATATTTAACTGCAACAAAATCAGTGTCAGAATTTAACAAGCTGCTTTGGTGGAGCTCCAGGACGGGGTGAGACGTGGAAGGGCAGCTCTGGGAATTGGGAGCGGAGTGGAACAGAAGGCACAAAAGCAAAAGCGTGACACAAAATCACCCTGTGAGAAACATGGCTGGATCACACGTGGGACTGAATAGCAGAGGAGCAGGGAGTAAATCCAGAGTAGGAGGGAGGAACCAGCACAGGAATGAGGAGTTGATGGGGCTGTGGTGGGGTGGGACACAGTACTGACAACGTGCTGCCCCAGGGCTGAGCCTGGCCTGGCCCATGCCACAGAATTCTGCTGTCCCCAGTAAAGCACAGCTGGAAGTTTGCCCTCCCCAGTCCTGCTGCTCGTTCCCACCATGGCAGCAGCTGACAGCTCCAAGGACACCAATTAATTCAGTTCAGAGTAGTTGTGCCGTGATCTAAACCCATCATTTAAACTCCTTGTTCCCAGCTTTCAGCTCTGTGTGATTTTTTGCTGTGTCTATTTGTTGTTTTGTAAATTGTTTCTTGTCTGTCTCACTAATGTGACAAACATTCCAGTAGGAGTGGCAGGATTTGGAGCATTACCTGCTTTAATATTAATCAGCTGCCTGATTTGAAGCGATGCTGGGGCCTTGGGGAATGCTGCAGTTCCAGTTCCCTTTGCAGCTGGGAATGCTGCCCTTGGGACAGGGAGCCTGGGATCTTGGCTCCTGGCTGGGGGGCACAGGACGGTCTGACCCCAAACTGGCAGCTGCCTGGTGCATCTCCCCTTGGATGAGGACACCTTGCAGGCAGATACCTGTGGTCACCCTCCTGGGTTTTTAAAAGAAACTTTAAACAGCATTTGCTATTTCTTTTGCCTCATGCTTGTTTACATAGTCAAATCTTTTTTCTGAATGTGACTGAAGCTTTGTTTTGTTTTTATTCCCAGTGAATAAGCTGTTCACCTGAGCTCCCAGCTGGAACCCAGTTTGGCCCAGAGCCTGAACCAGCCAACACTGTGGGCAAGAGCCAGGCACAGGCAAGAGGCCAGTTAAGCCAGGACACTCTAAATCCATCTGATGCCACTGAGCTCTTGTTTGTATTGGCTGAAGAACCAAAGTGCCCAGATAAGGGGGCCTGGCAGCCCAGCCCAGACCTTCTGCACTCTTTAGAACTCAGGTTTTAAAGGTGCTGAACACGTGGTGGACAGTATTGGGGGTTGGAACTAGATGGTCTTTAAGGTCCCTTCCAACCATTCTATGATTTTGTGGCAGTGTTTTCCTTCTTAAAAAAAGTCCCATTATATTTTCAAAGGAAATAAAGAACATCCAAGATTGGATCCTTCCAAAGGGAAAATAATTTCATTTGCTCCCCAGATCATTAGGCAGGGCTGGGAGAAGGGAGTTGCCATCGGGAGGCAGGATAGGTTCAGAGCTGTGCACTGGAAAACTCCCACATTTGCTGTTGCCTTGTAAACAGAAAATGGTGAGAACATTTGTGACATTTGGAGGGACATTGCTGCTATCTCGGGTCACCCACCCTGGCTTTGGGGCAACACACAGTACATTTCACAGTTGTTTTTTTTTAACTGCCAGACACCATTCGTGTGAAATAGAAATTGTTCCAAATGTCAGGAACCTCCTTTGCTTTGTGCAGGAAGCAAATGTTTTGTTCTTCAAAGGCACAGGCAGTTTCCCACTGAGGGTCAGCCCTTTGCCTGCTGCCTCAGCCGGGTGCTCCAGGGTGGCTGTGAGGGGCAGGTGTTGCCTCCCTTACCTGGGGGTCTGCCCCTGTGCTGCTGCTACAGACACAGGTTTGAGAAAGGGCTTAGGGACCTGAAGGCACAGCTGGATTTCCAGGAATGTGGGGTGGCTTTCAGTGCACAAGGGGGGCTGGAGGGGGCATGAGGGAACCCGCTGGGCTGCCAGCTCTGGGGGCCAGGAGCCTGTGGAGCATCCGTACCCGCTCCTCCTCTTCCTCCCTGGGTCAGCAGTTCATTGGTCGGGAAGCAGCTGCTCAAGAGCATCCATAAAGCTGCAGAGGTTTAGTTTGGGGGCTCTGTTACGGGCCCAGCCCCAGGGATAGGAGGCTTCAGAATCACTCCCTCTCACCCCAGCAGGTGAACCAGCCCCTCTGCCCTGTGCCCTCACCAGGGACCGTGGCTGGGCCTGGTGCTCTACCCGCTGGGGCTGGAGGGCACATGGCCATGGCAGCCCCTTACCCCACAGCCAAACTGCCCTCGTGCTCACAGGCTCCTGCCCCCACAAAGGCTTCCTCAGCCTTGGAAGCAACCCTTGTTCCCAGTCTCCTCCCAGGTCCCTGGCACCCAGAGCTGTGCCAGGCAGTGGGGGCAGAGCCGTGTGCTTGCTGTGCACGGACTGTCCCTGAGCGCAAACTTTCTGTTTCAGTGGCACATTCTCCAATTTCTCTGTAGAATTCCATCACACCCATTTTGCTCTTCCTTTTGTGTTGGTTCTCATTTGTTTTAAACACTAGCAGAGGTGAGTCTGGGTCCCTTTGGCACCTTGGCCTTGTGCAGACGGTGCCGAGGCCGTGAAAGTGCCAGCGTTTTATACGCGCTTCCCATTGACACTGCGGGATAGACCTTGCAACCCAAGTGCTCTGCCTTGATCGATTCATTCTCATTACAGCCCTGAATTATTTGCAGAGGGAAATGACAAGGCTTTATTTTCTCATGGTGCTTTATCTTTTTACAAAATGCATCCAACGAAACTGCTAATGGAAAAGCTTTTAACCTTAAGCGGAGGGTGATCCGTGTCCGTCCGAGTGAGGTGTGACGTGCAGTGCTGACGAATGCCCCGGGCTGCAGCAACCTGCTGCCACCTTCACAGCCCTTCCCAGGTCACTGGGAGATGGACTAGACAGCCCAGGGTGACAGACGCAGCAGCAGGATGAACTGTTTGTTTGAAAAATTGAAGAGAACAGAAAGGACAGATCTATTCCCCTGCTTCAGAGGCAGGAACGCTTCATGGTGGGTCTTGGTGTCACTGGTGGATTCCAGAGAGACCAGGCAGTGGAGGGATGGTGCTGCTTGTGCTCCATGACAAAATGAAAAACAGATTCCCAGGGACATGGGAGGAATTATCAGGCAAAACTTTCACTTCCCCTGGGATAGGGCACTGCCAGATGCATTCTGTACTAGCAACGCTTCTCCCCAGTTGCATCTTGTTGAGTATTACTTTTTAAGCCTACAGCATTTTCTAATGATGAAAAAGCAGACTGGCTGGGCATTTGGGGAGAGAGATGCAGCTCTGAGGAAGAAGATAAAGAGCTTCTGCAAATATTTATGCACAGAAAATCGAAGGATTGGTAATGAACCTCATTTACAGAGGAGTTGGATGTGTTTGTGTGGCTAAAGCAGGTGCAGGAAGGGGCAGCTGTTCACCACAGACTGAGCTGGTTTAGAGATTACCCACTGACGTGTACAGGGGTGAGGGGAAAGAGGGAAGGCTTTTGTGCTGCCTCCTCCTTGTACAAGCCCGAGGGAAATTCTTGGTGCTGGGCAGGTGTGTGTGCTTGGGGTGATGCTCCCAGGTGCCTCTGTCACAGCCATCAGTACCTCCCTGTGCTTGCCCACCACCTTTATTTAATCGTCTGCATGGAGGGTGGCTGTGCTGTAACGGGGGCAGGTGTCCTCTGCTCCTGGCTGGGCCTGGTCCTGCCCTGGGGGCTCCAGGCATCTTTCAGCAGCACAGGTAAGAAGCCTCTGCTCTCAGACTTTCCATGGGGAAGGGGATGAGCAGCTTCTCTGGACATCACCAGGGGTTGTGGGCACGGTGGTCACAAACCTGGGGGTGGAAGGGCTGTGTTCCATCCCTAGCCTGGAGAAGGGGAAGGAATGGAATGAGGATGAAGCTGTCTTTAGGTGGCCTTAAATCCTTTTGGTGCTGCTCTAGGAGCAGGGAAGGCTCTTTGGTCATAGCAGCAGCCTGCAGCTGGACTTCATGTTTTAAGATGACCCCAAGCCCATTTTCACCCACAGTGTAAATTTGTTCCCTTCAGTGTTCTATATTGTGCAGTGACCTACTTTACAGTGTTTTTTTAAAGTACTGGGAAAACTGCCAAAAAGTTAAATCTTAATTTTTCTGAAGCTGTCCCATTTGCTCCTGTCTGTCCATACAGGAGCAGCAGGGGGTGAGTTTGCAGTCAGAGCTTGGTGTCTCTGGGGAGCTTGGAGCAGCCTTGGCTCCATGGAGCCTGCCCAGGTTTTCCAACTTTTGGTTTTAGACCAGCTCCTGCTAACAAAATTCAAACTTTTACCTAATGGCTCGTTAAAGTCACTGTTTGGCACCTCAGTGCCAGTGACCCTCGAGGTGTGGGAATGCTGTGGTCGAGTCTCACAGGCTCTGCTCTGCACTGGGTGTCTGTCCCTGCATCCATCTGTCCATTTGGAGCTGGCCGTTGCCTCCAGGCTAGTTTTCCTTATTGGTTGCTACAGGCTCTGTGACTGTTTTCAAGCAGAGATAAGTTGGGCTCATCAGTCACATTAATTTTTCCTGGGTGCATGTGGTTATTTGGCTTTAGAAGGAAGGAAAAGAATTTTACTGAATGTGGCAATGAATCAGAGTTGTTTTCTGTAGCCATCTTTGAGTCCTGCTGGAAACATAAACGAGCAGTGGGAGGAGGTTGCGGGGCTGCAGTTCCAATTAGAGACCGTCTGCTCGAGTTCACGGGCTGCAGGTGATTTGTACAAAGCGCTGGCAGGGCTGTGGATGCCTCAGCTGGCTGGGGAGGGAAGGAGGTCAGTGCTCACCTGAAATATGCCCGTTATTAGCTGCGCCGCTCGCTGTTTCTGCAGGGCATCATTTAAAAACAATTTTTCTGAATTGCACCATCTGGAGGGAGGAAAAAAAAAATCTATGAAGTATTTACATGAGGCTCGGTGCTCTCCCCACCTCAGCAGCGCCATGTGCGGCTCCTGGGGCTCTGCCGTTCTCGGATCCTGAATAAGGCAGTGATGGCCGGGGCACGGGAGCTGCAAGTGAGCTCCCAGGTGGGTGTGTGGGGAGCAGCGATACCCTCAGCTGGGGAGGGATGAGATCTCCTCTTCCTGTTGCTTCAGGCTCCCTATGTCTGCGGGTGTGTCCTGCCCGGGTGGCAGCTCAGGCAGAGGACACCGGGAGCTAGGTCTGGCATAAAGACTCTCCTGCTCCTGTGCCTGTGGCAGAACTGCTCCATGTGAGTGTGCCAGCTGGTCACCTCCCAGTACATCAGGGATGGGGCTGAGGCTCATTTGGTGGCGGTGGGGACCGCTTGTGCATCCTTTTTTTCACTTGAGAAACCCGGTGCAAGAGAAGCACAGGTCTGTGACATTCCTCCTGCCGGCTCCCTGCCTGAGAGTCTGCTGCGTGTTTCGAAATGCCTCTTTCAGCTCTGGTCAAAATACCACTTTTGCTGCATTGTCCAGGATTTCAGTTTTGCTGGAGCTGTAGATAAACTGAAGGTGAACAAACGGAGGATTTGAGAAAGGCCAAGCCCAGCTTTGCCTCTGCTGCCTCCCAGCACGATGTCTGACACCAGCTGGCAAACCCGTAAACGCGGAACGAACAGCTGTAATTATCCTTCTGAGAGCCGATCTCTGAGCTGTTAATTGGTAGTGAATTTCACCTTAAAAGCAAGTCAGGACGAAATGGCTTATCCTTCCCCTACCCCCCAGCCTGGGGACAGCAACACACCTCCCTGCAGCCTGGGTACATCATCTGTCGCTTGTGTGCCCTCCCAGGAACAGGTCACACAACAGTGGTTGGTTTGCACTGCCAGTGAGAAGGGAAATGCAGCCTTGTCCTTAGCAAGTGGATTCCTCCCTTTGGTTAAAAAAATAAAATGTGCACATTTCGTGATAAGCTGTTTGCTGCTGAATTTTCTCATGAGAATAAATTTGAGTAGCTCCAGAGCAGGCACAGCAGTGCCCCTGGTATGTGATTAAGACCGGTGTGGTCTGTGATGTTCTGATGGTGCCTCCAAGCCCTGCTTCTCTCAGGAAGCTCCTGCTGTGGAGAAGATGCTCTGCTGCCATTGTCTGCTCCCAATTCACAAATCCTACCTCCTTGAACTCTGTTTTGTGTGTGGGTGTCAGTACTGTGGGAGCCTTTGGATTGTGTGAGCTGAGGAGTTGTGTCTGGCATGTGTTTTCAGGCTTTATTCTGCAAGAGGAAGAAGCCCAGGGTGTCTTTGAGCCCCACAGATCCCATGAATCAGAGGTTCTG